ATAAACCATAGTTAGGTAGCCTTCTTTGACCAAGTAGGAGGGGGCTTCAAAAAGCTAATGAGAAAGTTCTGCTTTTAGTTCTACTTCTCAATGAACTTTTTGAAGGTCCTTTATATATATCAACTCTTGTAGACACACATGATATAGGTATCTAACAGATACGCTAAGTCTGACTAATGAACCTATTTGCACATGGAATCTATTAATAAATCAGTTATTTTTTGTCTTGTATATTTGCTTTCAGCTGTTTTTTTTTTTCTTCCTTCAAGCATTTAATTAGAAAGTATTGGAGGATGAGAGAGAGAGAGAGAGAGAGAGTGTGTGTGTGTGTGTGTAGTTAATTTAGGAACTTGGTTGGATTCCCATTCTTGCAAGTACTTTTGAGTTTTTTCAGCATTCTACATGTGGCCTTTTCTTTTCAAAAAAAGTATAATACAGAAGTATTTAGTTGTTTGAATTCTCATCCACAGCCCAAAAGAGTGTCTTTCAAACTTTATAACCAAGGCCCAGTTCCAGTCCAAAAGATGAGATAAAATGATGGGAAGGAGTGAAGAGACCCCCTGTACTGGACAATAATCACTCTTCATTCTAGTCTCAGTGTCCACTGAGAAGAGTCTCTAAAGGACCCCGATGTAGCAAGATTCCTTATCTGCAAATAAAATGATCAGAATGCCAGAAATATATGGGGTATTATCTATGGAATTATCATTATGGAAAATGAAAACATCTTTAACTCCTTAGCAAAGTAGCAAAATGAAATTCTTCACCTCGCAAATCTTTCTACACCCAGCACCCTCATTATCATTCTTAATAGTTCAGTTTCACCTTTTCCCCATATCCCATTCTCCAATGTGTCTATTCTAGAATCAAGCCACCTTTTGTTTTTCTCACTAAAACACTGAGACTAAGTTGGCCCAATAGCTTGTCTAAGGATATCTTAAAATTAAAAGACAAATATGTATTTCTACTCAGTAGACAGTAGTAGCACTTAACACCACATTTTCTATTAATTCTTGTAAAAGTAGCACGGGCCTTTACTCTCCTTAAATAAGTTTGACAGAGTAATATTCGGCTTCACACTTTCCCGTCCTTTCCACTACTTTGAATCTTGCACCTTGATAAGGACTCATAGTCCTGATGAAGTCAAGGTCACCAAACTATGTATCTAAAACCTCCTACAGCAGAATTTGGAAGAACTGCTTCCTTTTCCCGGCCTCTCACATTTCCACCTTTGACAGTTGCAGTCTTGCCTCTTGCTCTTGCTTGTTTTTGTGGAACGTATTTGACTTCCTTCTCGGACTGATTTCCACCCTTTCTACATTCCAGCTCTCACGGACTCTGAGGAGCTATGTTTGAATACTCTGAAGGAGGAAGCCAACTCTTGAAGGCTCTTCTTCTGCACTCAAGTCTTTAGATGTAGAGAAAAAGTAACTGGGGATGTAATTGATTTAATGTCTTTTAATACTAGCCTGCTAAGAGTGATTTGCTAAGAACCCAGTATACTTTAAATTTTTATAAAAATAACAAAAGCTTATGTCACAAAAACATTAGTGTGTTGTGCTCTAATCATCTACCCCATTTCACAGAGGTAATGATTAATACTTTTTTTGCAATTCTTACAGAAACGTTCTGTAAGTATCTTTTGTAAGCTCAAAAAAATAAGAGCAAATGATAGATTCTGGGCTATGTAGCATTGAGCTATTAAGCATTTAGTCACTATATGAATTACTGTATATACTCGTGTATAAGCTGAGTTTTTCAGCACATTTTTAATGCAGTTTTTGCGATAAAAATTAGGTGCCTCGGCTAGGGTGGGCATATACTCAAGTATATACAGTAACCGTGTCAAAGCAAGAGTCACTAAGTGAAATGAAGGGACCTATTTCTGACAAGTAGTCAGCAGAGTTCACATGAAGGCCTTGTTCTTAAGGAAACCATGTGAGTTGCTATGTGGGCCCCACAAGTGCAGCCTCTTCAGTATGGGGAGGGGAGTCCCATATTGGGCTTATTACTTTTTTTTTAAGGCATATTACTTTTGTGGTAGGGATTATCATTTTCCAGTGTTCATTCATTTTAGAATGAGTAAGAAATCCATCTCTATATTATTTAAAGGCATAATTATAAGTAGACTTAACTAGATGGCAACTATTATGGTCATGGTAATCACCATGTAGGTAATGTGATAACCATTACCTACCTCAAAATTAGAATCTCTTCTCAATGACTGAAGGTCCTTGGAACCTACATTGCATTCTACACAGCATTTTACCTGGAACTCAATTTTAATAATGTTTACCTCCACATGATCTAATTTGGAATCTACTGCCCACACCACTATGCCTCTAACGCCATAGTCATTCCCATAGTCCATTGCCATTTTATACTTTGTTTTTCTTCCCCCACTTTATCATTCTAAGTACATTTCCAATTTATAAAAAACATTTCAGCATTCCAAAGCACACAGAAATATTGTGAAAGAAAAGGAAGTTATTAGTCTCTTCCAGAACAAGATCTAGGCAACCATTCATATACTGACCACTGAAAATCTCCCAGCAGCCCAATGACCTATTTTTTCTGAGCAAGCACTCTATTATGTTACCCAGAACTACTGGGGCTCCTCTATTCATGCTAATACCTGGAAGATTAAAACAGAGAGGAGGTAGATAAAAGGAATAAAGCAAGTTCTTGTTTATCTAGCAACCACTAGGTACCAGGTCAGGCACTGGACATGTATTTTTTTCTATTACTTGGAAAAAAACACTATTTGCCCATTTACAGTTGGGGAAACTAATATTCATTCAACTGAAGTAGCTCGAGCCAGAGCTAGAATTCAAACGTGTTTCTTTTGGCCTCTATATAGCTCTATGTTCTTTCCAGTATATGTCAATGGCTTTTTCTAGAAAAAGCTAAGACCTGGTTGGCAATAAAGGTAGTAGATGGTCAGGGAAATTATGACGGTTATTTACTGGTTATTTTTTTTGTTTGCCTCTACCATCACAGTGTACGTTATCAAATATGTGAGCCATTAAACTTATTTAATTGTTAAGAATACAAAATATTGCAAGTGTCACAGGTCCATGTGTGCATTTTCATATAGGATACTCACTAAACCACCTGAAAATTTGGAAGAAACCAGCTGTAAGTTTCCTGCTTTTATCAAATATGCTCCTCGCTCTCTACATTGGATTAGTTCATCAAAGAGGTACACTCGATGTCATGAGTCACGTTCAAGAGCTCTGTAACAAGAGTCACAATAAATCTTCAGCTTCAGTATTTGTAATAATGCCTTGCCACTCTACACCTTATTACAGGTAATCAAGGGTTTTCTACAGCATGCTATTCAACAACTTAAGAATTTCTGTCTAGATTCCTGGAATTAAACTAATTGATCACTGATCAGAATCACTCAAGATTTATTTATTCAGCGATAGATTTCAAAATTATTTGTCTGTGTCAGTGAAAATGACACACCACTTTTAAATGCCTATGACTTATATAAGGGCTGAATCATTACATATGCTTTTATTTGATAGTGTTCTTAGTAAAGATGAACTTATCATTGATCTTACTACAGTTCACATTTGACATGAGATCTTGTACACTACACTACTTTGGATTACTCTGAAGACACGGGATTTTAGTCCACATTTACCAAAGGATGGTTGCCCTGGGCTTAAAAACTGTTTTGTTTTGTTTTGTTTTTAACCTCTTTGCACATCAGTTCTCTCATCTATAAAAAATAGGAAAATAAATTAAATGTTTCTGAGACTGCAATATACTAAAACTGACTTAAACATACAGCGCATTGAAAAACTCACTTGACCCTATGTTTTATATTTATATGTAAGTCCTAATTTAATCTCCCAGGTTGCACATTTAAGCATTTGACTTAATTATCAACATGGATAAAACTTTAGGGGAATTTAACACATTTGGAATATTCAACTGAATCTCTAATAACAAACATTAACAGCCAGTTTGGAAAATTGTCTATTACCAGCCACAAGTTTGAGGGCAGACCTGCAGGTATTTCTTCAACTCAATAATCTCCTACCACCTAACGGTGAACATGAGAGCGGCAGAGTCAGCTCTCTCCATGCTCACACTGTCAGGAAGAGCAACTCGAGAAGTGCCCTGATGCTCTCCCCACCAGGGCGCAGTGTTGGTATCGTAGGCGTTATATAATTTCTAAGTTACCTTACACTCTTTTCTGAGCACACATGGGAAATGTTACTCAGTGAACATGCCATTGCTCTCTATTGTCAAACCTTCTGTTAAAAAAACAAAAACTTTTCATCTAAGAATGGATACTATCCCTTGCCATAAACGTCTACCCTGATAGTAAGCAGTTTACCTGGTTCCAAGGGCCATTTAATCCTTGGAAGAGCCCTCCCCACCAAGCTGATCCCTGATCTAGTTTCCATTTTAGAGTAGCCTTTGTGTTGAGTGCAGACTTGTAGGGTATGGAGGTGATCCTGATGCTACCCAGCTACATGGTGTGGAAAGCATGCTCTCCATCTCTGAGCAAACAGCATTAATTAGAATCTGTTGTACCGATTCAGACTTCACATTCTGTTCTATGAAAATGAAATATCTTAAGAGTCATTTAATACCTTCTTTTTACTCCCTGTAACTAATCATAACTTTCTTTTCTTAGCCACGTTCACTGCCCACTTCCAATGAGATTTCTCCAATGTCCTCCAGACCTGACTGGAAAAACACATTATCTTGATGAAGCAGATGAATTTTACCTAAACCCCTTAAATTGGTTATATAAAGAGTTTCACAATAATTCATCATTGCCTACACATTTGATCATCTTCAGCACTTTAGAAAAGGTAAGTAAACATGAAAAACTCAGTATTTTTAATTCACTTTAGGTTCAGCGAGTATTCAGGTTAACAAGACAACATAACCTTTTTATGGTCCCTTTCAAACTCAATATTTTTAATTGTCTTTTCCCCAGTCAAAATCAGCTCCAGTTCTGTAACTACCAAGGTATGGTATTTACCACACATTTAATACTTTAACACATTTTGTAAAGTTCTATTGAGAAAAGAGTTTGAGAAATCAACATAGGCAATTCTAAAATTCTTCACAACAGTACTCGGTTAAAATGTAGCCTTATTTACTGAATAACTTTTTGTTTTTAATTTCTAGGAAATAAGTGCTTTCCTAATTTCACGCAGCTATGAAAAAACTGCTGTAGTCTTCCACACTCATTTGCCAGAAGGTCGAACTGGAAGTCATATATACATCTATGAGCGGAAGTTAAGAGGGAAAAACAACGGATGAACTTCTGAACAATGCCTACATCTTTCTGAAAGAAACTGACATTGATGGGTGGAAATATTCAGAAACTACCTGCTATAGTCAACACTGTGTAAGATTCATGTAACTAGTACAAAACCACGATGAAACCTTTGTCAAAGAGCACTACTGAGGAAATGTACAAAGTGTCACACAGTACGAAATATATTAATGCAATGCCAGATGTAAATAAAGACCTTTAGTTTTCCTCATGGTGCAGTTTTATTGTTTCTTCCACAATATTCAGACGTGCAAGAAATTTCACGAGAGAATAAAGCCAGCAAGCTCGTAAGGCAGCAGCAAATTCTTCACAAGTCAACGGGCTCTTGAACCCACAAAAAGACAAGAAGCAGTTATAAGTTTATAAAATACAAAAGATGAAATTCCACCACAATGTACTTTCGTCAAGCTCTACTGCAAACTTTAACACAAATATCAGTGTTAATTACACTTTGTCGTATATGATATGAGCTTGCTTTGAGCTCATACACTGAAATTCAGGAAGTGTCACTTCATGCATAAAATCTGTCACATGCCTGGCTTAACAATAAAACTATAGTTGAACATTTCCATTGACAAACTAATTCAGCAAAGCTAAAACTACAGGAAAATGCAGATGAATAAGCTTTTGATGCTTCTGAGTAACGGTATAAAGTCATCAGACTGATGCTTATAAATTGGGGTGGGGGCATTGTCATCTTGATAATCTTAGTTTATCATAGAAAGCATCTGTTTCTCTTACAGTTTTTAAGAACATAATTATGATAGTCAATATTTAGGATCAAAAGGCAAATGCCCCAATTCTATTTCCAGATTTGCCATATATCTTCCATTACTGCGACCATACTTATGCCATTTACCTTCCCTTTTATTAGGCTGTGGCTGAGGGTGCTTCTGCTCTTGTTTTCGATGCCTGGAGTTTTCAATATTTACCATACGTTGCTTTTTATCAGGTCGACTGAAAGCAGTAAACACATTTTTCATCGATGTTAGAGTTAAATTTATTTAAATTAGAAACAAGCTTAATGTTCTCCATTAATTTGCTATCTGAACACTGTAAAAGATGTTTATCTGAAATATAACCCTATAATATGTAGACAAGAAAATAATCATCAGTTAATAACTTTTCTAAGTCGACAAATATAACTATGCAACAGGGAAAAGATCAATAAGTAACAAAATGTGGCAATAAAATAATGAGATGTCCCCTTCTTTTTCTGAAACAATCCCTCTTCATTATGTTCACTCAGCAGAAATGTGTACACTTCCTCACAAAGAATTTTTAGCTAACTCTTCTCACCTCCAATGTTTATAAGCAACGTCTGCATTTGCCCTTCTTCAGTATTTCTGAATAATCAAGTTTCTGTCACCACTTCACCGAAACAATTCATATGGCCACCAAGTTCCCAAGCCAAGAAATGTTTAAAAAACATTTGACATATTTGAATATTTCTCTTAAGATGATCAGATTTTCATCTCACTGTCTGGTCTTATTCCTGCCAGTTTTTCTAGAACCCCATAAAGGTTGGTCTTCAAGAACCTGCTCTCTAGCTCAGAGTACAGCAGTGGTTCTCAACCTTCCCAATGCCGCCACCCTGTAATACAGGTTCCTCGGGTTGTGGTGACCCCCAACCATAAAATTTTCGTTGCTTTTCTGTCATTTTGCTACTGTTATGAATCAGGCAACCCCCAAAGGGGTCACCTCGCACAGGCTGAGAACCGCTGGACTACAGGAATACACACACAGGAACAAGAGGAGTCCCACACCCATGGAATTAATCGCCAACTAACCCTTCTCCACTAGAATGTGAACAGGCACCTCCAACCTAGGATAGTATACACAGTTAAGCACTGAGCTACTAACGGAAAGATTGGAGGTTCAAACCAACCCAGAGGCACCTTGGAAGACTGGCCAGATGATCATCATAGTCAAGAAAACTCTCTGGAGCACAGTTCTACTTGCCACACATGGGGTCACTGAGTCTGAAGTGACTCAACTGGAAGACATAATTTTCAACTCTTAATTCTCCTTGTCCAAAAACATTTTCTGGCATTCTCTATCTTGGTAATGCTATCACTCGGTCAGTGACCTACCCCAGAAAGCTGCAGGGCACTATCACTTTCTACTTTCTACTTTAACGAATACCAATCATTGTTCAAATCTGCTTCACCCTTTCCCTCTAGGCACTATTATCCTAGTGCAATTATTATTTTGCTCGTTTGAATTTGTTTCAAAGACCTTGTTTTCCACCTTCATCTCATTCTAACCCATCCTCCAAGCTGCTGCCAGTAAACTAAAATATTCTCCTACCCCACTTTAAAGAGTCTTCATGATCAATTATTCTGTACATTTCCCAGCACTACCCTGGCTCCTTGAGTGGCATGCCCTATCTCCAACCCTTTGCAAATGCAGTTCCCTATGAGCAGAATGCATTCCCTAAGATTCTTGGAAAGTTTGCATTGATTTACCTCTCAAAAGTGAGTTATAAAATGCAGCTCAACAACTCCATCACTCATCCCAACCATCTCTAGCAAAGGGCCATCATATACATCCTAAGTTTCCTTTCTTACATTGGAGCACGTGTTTACCCACTCTCCTAGCCTGGGAGCGCCTTCACATTACGTGTCTTCACAATGCTTCTTCATTCCAGGCACATGCACTCAACACTAAAGACACTACAGTCGCTCTCATTATTTTATAGACACATTATTTATTCAAAGGGTCAGTTTTATGTTACAGAATAAAGCTGATAAGCAATGGGCAAAAAGTTACATGCAGGAAAAGCACACATTAGAACTTCGGTATGCCAAGTTTGTCCCTTAGATCGTGCCTCTAACATTCAACAATTCTGCCGTTAACTACATTAAACGCCATAATTACGTAGAATGGGCAAATGAAAAGAGGTGGGGTATTAGAATTGTTACATATAAGCTCTTCTAAATTCAGAGTAAAAATGGTATTCACTCAGCTTCCCAAGGTTAGTATATAAATAAAAGCAAAATAAAATTATTTTCACTTAAGGTGATTATCCTTTCATATCAAGTATACTAAAAGAATATTGGCTAAAGAATTTAATAATGTATGTTCTCAACCAATTTTTTTTCAGGTAAGAATTAAATCATCTGCTCAAGTCAAGTTGATGTGTGAAATTTTCAGTCCACATTAGCTGTAATTTTTAAATTACACTTTTTGCTTTATTTTTTCCCTAAATTCTCATAAACTCCAAAGAAACATTATCAAATGATAAAATCTATCCAAACTGTAGATGTCAGAAACTATTATGATAACATGGTGCTATGTAAACCGACCTGGGTCCATATGGAGGGGGAAAACTGTCACCAAGGAAGTATCTATATATATATCCATCCAAATTCTCAAACACTCCATCATTATTGACTTGATACTCCTTCATGGCTTTCAGATAATCTTTAACATCATTAACGAAGTCAACGAAGAGCTTCTGGTCATGTATGAAGACACCATTCAGGAAAAACTTACTGATGAATTGGTCAAGTTCTTTCCAGTGATGGAAACCATCCATTTCTTCTAATAAATATCTTAGTATTAACTGTCTGAATTCTTCTATCTTCACAGGATTCAATGCTACATTAAAAAGACTAACAGATTCCTGTCGGGCACAGTCAAATACATCAGAACAGCCCTTTCTGGAGGAATGATGATGCCCACTACACTCACGCTCAGCGCCGCATTTCTGTGAATTTGTGTTCATTCTAAATCCATCGGAGTGAGGTGATGCGTCCTTCCTTCCCTCCCTCTGCAGAGGAGGGGCTCCATTATTCTGGTTTTGTGTGGTTGCCTTAGACTGTGGATGTATATATCCACGATAAACTGTTCTTGATTTTTTAGCTGTTGCTTCTTTTGTTGCATCAAATCTTTTATTCCCTTTTTCATCAAAGATATTCTTGGTAGTATCTTTGAAATGTCTGAAGGTAGATTTAACTGAATCTGAGAATTTTTTCAGATTTTCCTTCACAGCTTCTTTGGCCTGTTTAATTTTTTCTTTATGATGTCTCACAAACTCTTTGGTTGAATTTTTCATTGCATCGAATGTTTCCTTAACTGAACCCAAAAATGTTTCCTTTGACTTATTTTTAGCCCTGTAGTTTCCTCTGCCCCCTTTCTTTTTTCCATCAGTTTCTTGTTTTACATTTTGATCTTTTGCCTCAACATACAGTCTTTCCCACAAATCAGAACGCTGCTGTTCGAAGTTCAATTTCTGCTCTAGCTCAGTAAGTCTTCCACGTAAGGTTTCTATTTCCTTTTTTTCAATCAATACATTGGGAGAGTCTGGATTTCCGTATGACTGACTAGCACTTAACTGCTGAAGTTCCACCTTTAAAGCAATGGTTAGCAATCGTTCTTTGTCCAGTTCCCCCTTAAGCATCTTTGCTTCCGCCAATAAAGTTTCCCTTTGATTAAGAAAGGTGTTTGTTTTCATCTTTTCCTCTTCCAAATGTTGCCTCAGTTTCTGGTTTTCTGTTACCAATTCACTACCTGTTCCTCTATTTTCCAATAACCTAATCTGTTCTCTCAGTTTTCTTAACTCTTCCTGCAATGAGCACAAGGTTTTCTCTTCTTTCTCCAGAGTTATTCTTAAAAAGTGATTTTCTTTAGCAAGGCTCTTCTTCTGAGTTTCGTAAGACATTTTCTCTGTCTCTGTAAGGGTCCAGCACCTTGCAAGGTTTTCTTTCAATGACTATTTTGAAAGAGAAGAAAGAAATATATCATATTCTTTAAAAGCTAAATTAACTTTTTTAATATTTAAAAATGTCCCTTAAGTTTTATCATTTTTATTACTGAAAAGGCCATCCTCTGGATAGTATTTACAATATTATAAAAATTGTAAAAACCAAGAAACATATGCAAGAGAATACATAACATCACACTAAGACAAGAATATACTGGAAGAATTAAGTTGGAATAATTAGAGGTCATGTTATCCTCTAATTTTATCCCTAATAAGGCTTTTAAAGAGAGATCACATAAAAATATTTGCTGGTGTTGAAGCCACTCAAAGTGAGGCGAAAAGAATACAGCCTTCCTGCCCTGGTGGCACAGTGGGTTACACATGGACTGCTGAACTGCTGGACTCAATCGTTCCTGAGAAGTTTCTGGAGAATTGAGGCGAAGCTAAAGGCTCCTCTGTTGCTTGGGTAGGGAGACTGTCTTCTATAAAAAGTAAAGCTTTTTTTGACGTTAGGCTTCAAAAACCTTATTGGTAATCACCTCTGGGTAGTACACCCCTGAAAATTAATCTCAATAAACAGTGCTACTTAAAAGATCCTAGTTGTGTGTACATTAACATTTCTAGGGTTGGTCCATGTAAGTCATAACAAGGTCTACAAACTCTTTAGAAGACAGACTGAATCTTGGTAACATTATGACTACTTTCCAGTAAACTTCTGAATCACAATCCAGATTACCTATTTAACTCTGGAATCATCACCCCAGACAGAGTAATCATGCTCAATCAGGTGCGTACAATTTTACTGCAGTTCAAAGTAACCCTCACTGATCTTTCTTTCAATATGGCAAAAACATTAATCCACACCAGTAGAAAATTAAACAATATGTTTCATCAGCTTAGTAATACCACAAATGTATGGACAAAACATTATTTAGTCAGTTAAAATATCTTAATGTATGAAGGCAACAAATGTACAAATGTGCTTGACACAATGGATGGATGTATGGATTGTGATAAAAGAGTTGTACAAGCGCCCAATAAAATGGTTTAAAAAAAAAACTTAATGTATAAATCTGTAAAACGATACTTAAAACTTAGCTTACTTTATCACAGACATTATGGTAATCCCATTTGAATCAGATCATCAATCTAATTATAAGTCTTTTGAAAAATAACCATCCATTACCAGTAAGAGTGTTCCTTCCTTACAACTAATGACAATCAAGAAATTACATATTTTAGTGTCTTTCATGATTAAAAATAAATTCAAAAGAAAAGGTAGAAAAACTAAAAAAGACTGTTTTGCTGATCCTTGTAAATCTGCTGGACGTAGATAGATTTAATGTAGGAATGTCTACCATGTTCCCCTGCTATCAGAACAAGAGGTCAGAGTAGAAAGAACTGGCTAACCTTTTCACCACATCAGGGGAAGAACTTGGAGAAGTTAGAAAGCCAAACACTCTTTTCCTAGACTGATAAAAAATTATCTATTTAACTGTACGAACAATATTAATTGTAGCTTAATGGTTAATATTTAAGGCTTTGAAGTTAGAAACTTGAATAAAACCCAACTCTTGCTAGTACACTAATAAGAGAAATACTTTATATGACTTATGACAGTCACTGAAACACAGTATGTTTATTGACTTAATAATCTGTACTGCACTTATACCCCCAATCATTACTGGCTACAGTTATTTTTCTTTATTTTTCAGTTTTACATACCTTATACTCTACAGAAGACTCTTGTCCTTGTTGACACTGAGAAAGATAATCCTTCACATCACTCAATTCACCTTCATGTATCTTTTTGACCAACTGCTGATGTTTCTGAACCTGAATTGTACCTAAAATGAAGAATTTCATTGGGACATGTAACATATATATTATTGCCAAGGTTCTACTCTATGAACAATTAGATGTGTAAAATTAAATATGTAATTTAGTTGTGAGTGTTTTGTCAAAATATCCATTTCACAATTATATAAAAGTTCTGATTATATAAACTGAGAACAAGTGAGAATTCATGGCATCATTCAAATAGTGATGAATGTTAACCATAATAAAAACCAGGTTGTGTAAGTTAATTTATTTTGTAGTTAGCATACAAAGGACATTCAAGCCATCATTATCCTTTGGACTAAAATAAGCCACTTGTACTCCCTAATGAAGAAAATACATGTGTGATGTTTGGTGCCTATTGAGTAGCCTATTAAAAGCACTTCAGGTTTTTTCTTTGAGGAGTGGGTAGGAAGGAGGAGGATTTTCAAACCATGTGTTTTTACAAGTCCACAAGGGAAAATCAAAATAAGCTTTTTTATCATTGTATTTTACCTAAATGATAGACACTTTCCCACAGAAGTCTAAAAAGTACCGCAGGTAAAAGAACTGGCTAAACACCATTCTCAAAGCCAGATTAAAAAAAAAAAACAAAAACTGATAATGGGTAGCCTTATACTTATAAATATCCTCACATACATCAACCAGGTTGATAAAATTCTTAATACTAACCTGAACATTAATAATAAGGGGTTTCAAAAACTGAAGGGAAAAATTGAATTAAAAGGCAATAGAATTTTTTCACAAACTTTTTGAAGCTCTCTCGTATACCTCTAAAAGTTGCCATTAGCTAGCTTCCATAAGCCTGGGGTCAGCTTGAGTTGTGGCAGAATAATACTCATCTTTCATGACTCCATAGAAAGGCATCAAAAACAGGCCTATCCCAGCAGTGATAAAGGAATCTTTACTAAGCGTCTCTGTATTTGCACCCTAAAACTCAAAATGTTAATTTGCCAATGCATGCTGTTCTTATGCCACTACAAGTTTCATGCATAACCTCATTTTAAAAATCTATTCATAAGAAATTGGGCAAAATGTATTTGCCAAACTGTTACATGCCATTACATTAAAACATCATAGATTTTTGCAGTTGATATGACAGCTTGCTATTTCTTTCTTACTATTACATTGTGGGGGGGTTTTTTGTTTGTTTGTTTGTTTACCTTTCAATATCTCTTGAAGCTAGGATTCAATTCTCCAATTTATAAAAAGCATTAGGAAACTTCTTTTTACTTCTGACATTTTCATATCAAAAATCTAAAAATTACTCAAATATTTTCAAATGTTTAAATATATGTTGCTTCCAAAGCAGAAAATTTCTATTTCAAATTATTTACAGGATGAAATCCTTTGCCCATTGGAAAATAACCAAAAACTGTTGAGATCTGAATTCAAGAAACATTAAAATATACTTGATGATTGTCTTAATATCATCTTTTTCTTAACCTTGAAATTTCAGTTACAAAACTCTGAAAGTTTTACCAACTCCTATGAATTGAATTTTTCACCTAAAAAAGTTATGGTGAAGTCCTAATTCCTATACCTGCAAACATGACTGCTTGAGGGGCTAGGGTTTCCCTTTCCATGCTATTAGTTGACAAAGTTATACCAGAATATCTGGTTTCTTTTGTTTTTTTCCCCACCACCCCTTCTGGTTTCTTAAAAGAAGCCATGGAACACAAAATCTGCCCAGGGCTACCAGAAGTTGGAAAGGACAGGATCTTCCCTTAGAACAGGAAGCAGAGTCCTGCTGTTGCCCTAAACTCCCTAAATTCAATCTGTTAAGTCTCCAAAACTGTAAGAAAAAAATATATATACCCCACCTGAAAATCAGATTTAAACTCCTGCCCTAGCCATTAGTCTGCATATAGGAGAACAAAGCAAACTGAGCTCATCACCTATTTACCATATATAACCGAGTAGTAGCCGACCCGAATATAAGCCGAGGCACTAATTTTATCACAAAAAACTGGGGAAACCTATTGACTCGAGTATAAGCCTAGGGTGGGAAATGCAGCAGCTACTGGTAAATTTCAAAATAAAAATAGATACCAATAAAATTACATTGATTGTGGCATCAGTAGGTTTAGTGTTTTTGAATATTTATTTCAAAGAAAAACAGTAAACTAACTCCGTTTAAGTGGAAAAGAGAGTCAACAAAAATATGGTATCAATAACTATACACACTGTTACTGCATGTGCTGCATTACTACAAACGCTGCCTTACCGCATGTTCACAGTGCAGCTTGTATAGTTTGAGGCTTAACGCAGGCTGATGATATTCAGAATGTGAAGACATGACTGTTTGCATAGCGCAGCCAGTGTTAGGGTTTATAATATACATGCTGTGTTGTGTACGCACTGCGTTACTGCATGCGCTGCATTACTGCATACAGTGTTACTGCATATGTATGGGAAGTGCTAATGTAACACATGCAGTAACAGTGTGTACACAACACAGCATGGATATTATAAACCCTAACACAGGCTGCACTAGGCAAGCATAGTCAACAATGGGTCCAGATAGGAGTTAAAAAGAAAGTAAAAAACAGCAGACTAAGTACTGTAAATAAACGTACTGTATACCCAAGACCAGAGATATACCAGTACTTGTATTCAGCAATGCTTGGTGGAACAAGGGGGAGTGACCAAGCACGGTAAGACTGTAAGGGCTACGTCATTGGTCACAGGAGAAGAGCGGGAGAAGATGAGCAGCCGTAGCAGACATCCATCTGACAAGGATGCAGCGCGCCCCAGGTACCGGCACACAGAAGCGGGCAGGTTCTTGCCCAGTACGACACGGACAACTCAGAGGCTGCCGGCGAGCAGGAGAAAAGAAAGGCGGTGATAGCAGCAGTCATCCGACCACCCTCCGAGGCTGCAGGCGCGGCAGATGAGCGGGAGACCGGAGAACACCCGCGCTGCACGGGAGAACAGGTAAGTGGGGACTCTGACTCGAGTGTAAGGCGAGGGGGGGCTTTTCGTCATAAAAAGTGTGCTGAAAAACTCAGCTTATACACGAGTATATAAAGTACTTACACTTCTAGTAAAATCTTATTCTAGTAGTGCCCTCAATTCCAATAAAACGGCACACTCTGGAATTTAATAAGCCATTAATGTACCAAATACTCAACCTTGAAGTCCTATTTTTAATTATTCTTTTTCCAGTGTCTCATATTACAAACTTCTATTTTCACTGTCACTAGGGTTGTTAAGGCCCCTATCAATAAAAATCTAAGTTAGTAAACTGCCCTGACGATTCTACTTTGTCTTGTACCATTCCACTCTCTTCACTTTTCCTCTAAAAATTAAACCCTACTACTTGTTGTACAATATAACAACATTCCACTGATTTCAACCTTACATTCCATTGTTCCTAAATATCCAATCAGCTGTAGTGTGGCCAGTCGTTTTACCACCTCCAAACCCAGCTGAGTAACTCACTTAAGTAACAATTACTTAAGTAATTCTTATCTAAAAATTACAGCAAACGACTGATTATGGAGTGCAATAACTAGCTTCACAGTCTAAGATGGAAACTCCATCAGCTCTGTCAATATCTTGAAGTGTTGACATTACGCCATATCTAAGGGAAGGAGTGTGATACCCTTAGGTAGTGACCGTAAAAAGCTAGTAGTCACTCAGGGAGTTTTATATGTTTTTAAACCAATCTCATGACTATATAGATAACACTGTATTACACAAACTTTTCACATATTAAAAAGATTAATATGAAAAAGTTGAATTAAATACAATCATTAAAGTATATTTCACAAGTAGCCAAGAATTTTAAATAATAAGGAAATACATTTTAATTTTGAAAGCAACTCGAAATCAATTTTTCCAAAAAAAAAAATATTTAAAAGGTCATGCAATTGGGGAGGTTTTAATGTAATTTGGATGGAATTAACAATGAAAGTCAATATCCAATTTTTATTAGTAAGGGAAAATAAAATGGTTAAAATAAGACTTTCTTTGTTACCACGTTTACCTGTGTGTGGGGGAGGCATCAGACTCAAAAAACACTGATACATGTTTGTTCCAGCTATATAATAAAATAAAATAACATATTTCAAATCAAATCTCATTATAATAAACTTCAAGGGAGGATACAAACTGTAGTATCTAAGTAGCAAATTAAGGTAGCCATCCAGCAAGTGTCTAAATAGTAAATGTAAAGTTAAGAATAAACACATTTTACTGGCTTCATTAAGTATTGTCTTTATCAAGTTTGTTCTAACACTACGTATGTTGAATAAATGTCTTTTCCACCAATCAACAAAGAGTACATGTCATTCTTCCACCTTTGCTGTCACATTTTTATGATGACACTATAGAAACCTATTACACATGCCTGCAACCAAGGGGTTAAGCCAATAGAGTATATTCAGATGTGATGCAAATGTGGAAATTTTATTCATTATCTATTTTCCTTGTTACTAATCTTTGAGAGCGGCTGGTGCATTTAACCTAAGCAACTTACAACTAATAAATTCAGCTTCTTAAGCTTTAATAAACTGAACAATGGTCATTAGCATAATATCTAAGTATGGTAATTACCATTATAAGATAATTACCTTATAATATGATAATCAATGCAATGTAAAATTGAGAGGAACACAGGACTTTTTCAATGGGACTGTTAATTCAAAAAACCACAAACAAAAGCCAACAAAATGATTATTTAGTGTCACCATAAAAAAGGAAGGGACTTAGTTATTCAGCACTAATGTCCCAATTCCTAGAACACTGCCTGTGGTAGAGCAAGTCTTACAACATAAATAAATAGATGTTCAATGAATGAATGAATGAATGGACATTATACGAAACTATAAATGAACATGCCAAGAATTCTACTCATCCCAAATACTTACTTTTTAAACTCTTAAAAACCTCCAAAACTGACATAGCAACCACAGAACTGCCACCCTTGGTTCCTAAGACTTTAAACCTTTACAGGGGAAGACTATCTCATCTTTCCTCTGTGGAGAAACTCCTAGTTTGAAGCTGGCCTTATTCAATGTACAACCTATGATGCCACAAGGGCTCCTTACTAGCTAATGGATATCCTCAATCTAAAGAATATGTTTAAATAAACAACCTCACCTGGTGGGTTTTGCTAATTTTTTGCACAGAGATAGGGTTAGGTCAGTGATGCAGCAACATATGTAGAGTGAAGAGGGGGAAAAGAGTGTGCCCATATTAATGCTATCCTGTTAATCAGTAAAAGTTTGCTAACTTTACATATCCAATTATGTACTAAAGTTAACAACAAATGGCCCTTAATGGAAAGTATGCTAAATAAGTTTTTCTCATTGTTAGCACAACCACTTGTTGCGAGGAAGTAGCAAGACAGGACTATTCAGAAAACTAAACTAGATTTGTGAGGCACAAAAACCCAAAAAGATTATCGAGACCTAAAACGTGTGTGTAGACAAAACCTTAACACTATCGTTTTAGTGCTCCCCCATCAAATTCTGAAAGAACAAAAAGTAAATGTTCAGTTCGCAAACCCATCTACCTTTGTTCAACATATACCTTAAGTAAGAGATTCAACAGAGGCTCTTAAGTGAAAAGACAATGTGGAATTCCTTCCTTCTCTCACCCAAGACTTTTTAAAAAGTGAATATAAATAAAATTCCATACACGCAAACACTAATAAGTATTACAATAAGGCTAAATTACAAAGCAAATTAATTCACGTGAATCGTGAAAGCAGTAATGAATGCTAAATAATGTGATGCTTGCAGAAACTAAAAGTAAAAATACTGAAGACTAATGATTGTGACATTTCAGAAGTTAACTAGTGCACCTGGGATTTAAGTTACCACTTTTAAGACAAGTTGGTTATAGTTTGTAGCTCTAAATTAAGATGATTTTTAACAGCTTTATTAGCACTTCATCCACATATCACACAATTCAATATTTCAATCATATCAAGAAGAGTCATACAATTACCACAATCCAGTTTAGAACATTTTCTTCTTCCTTGTATTATTTGTGTAATTTTTTAAACTGTGGCAAACATATACACAAAAAAATATTCTTCAATTCAACATATTAAAATAATGTGCTTCAAAGTATTTCAAATTTTTAATCTTGTCTTTTTTATTTAAAAAAGTCATAAACATGTATTTTAAATAATCTTTATATTTCCTAAAGAAATAACTACTCCTTTATTCACTAAAAACAGCTGTGTGATACAAGGAGCCTTTACCCTCCTTTTCCAATGAGAAAACTGAAGTTCAAACAAAGAGGCTGAGTTTTCCAAGGTCACCTATTATAATGATGACACTGGAAGCAGAGAGAACCCCTCAGAGTTCTGGTTCACTTCTATAATGGTCATTGAATCAGAATCGACTGACCAGCACATGATAACAAGGAGGTCTACACTACATTGCCATTGTATGCATAATAAATTTTTAAATACTTACCATAGAAATGTCCAAATCCCATGCTGATTGCAATCACCAAAGCAAGTACAATACACTTATTAAGACCACTACTGAACTGGTGCTTATGCAAGTTCTCCACAAAGCAATCAGCTTCTTGTTCAGCAGAGGGCAACTCTTCAGACTCTGAAGTAGAAACAGTCTTCTTCCTTGCACGGCGTCTTCTAAAAGCAGGACTGGGCTGATGACTGGTTTCATCGCTACTTGACTCGTCCCCACTAGGTTGAGCTGAAAATACTATTTGAAAAAGAAAAATGTAGGTACATAAGTACTAAAGTCTTTAGAAAAGCTTTCCTAGTAAATATGGTATAAAATTAATATAATCCCTACATGCCTTTTTACAAGAGACAGCACAAAACAAACACCACAAAAAGGCAGATATTTGCATTTATCAACATAAAGCCAAAACTTGACTTCGCTGTGATAGATAAGAATCCTGATCACATTCTGGGGGGGTCTATCTTTTTTTTTAAACCACTTCTATAGTTTGCATCATTACAACAGAGAACGATCTCTGAGGAAAGTATTTTATAAAATCAAAAGTTGCTTTTTTCTCAGTACCTTAGACTTTTAAAGGTGCAAACTTGCTTCCGTCTATATGGTAAGAAGAGCTAAAAGAACAGTAAAACAGGGCTACCCTGTATCAATCAAAACAGGGCTACCCTGCATCAATGAAGACTTGAAACTGACAAGTTCTCTGGAAACATCAATTATGTTGAGTACTTGTGTTCTTTTTGACCAAACATTGAGAAGAGTGGTTAAAATAATCAGAAACAATGCTAAATAATAATCAATTATAAATGAGTAATATATAATAACAATAATAAATAATGCTGGGGGTAACAATAACAACAATCATCCATTCTTGTAGTCTAGTAAATGTTGTTATCAAAACCTTTCAGTTTCAAACAAAGGTAACTTTACCTCAACCATTTAGGAGAGTACACAAGTAGTTTCTGTGACTTACAAGGTATAAATATCAAAAGTCATCCTTAGATTTATCTATTGTCTAGTTTCGTTTCCATCCTATTAGGCCACGATCAAGGCTAACGTGCTTTAGTTTTAATTAACATGTTTCCAGAAGTCATATGAGCCCTTCCCTTCGACTGCCACTCTTACTAGAAGGCTATTGATTTTACCCTCTAGTAAATATGTCAGCATGAGGAAGTGACACAACAGCTATCTCCGAAACTAAGGGCTAGTCTGATGCTGCTGCTTTACAAAAAGAATAGTAAAGAATAACACATAGGGAAGAAAGACTCCACAAGAAATCTCAAGTCCCAGGAACATATCTGCTGGAAAAAACAACTTTCCGTTTGTTTAACTGCATCATTTCTTAAGAACGGTCAACATTAACAACTACGTTGGCACAGATTAGATCACTCAGTATGAGTTCCACAGGCAGGCCAGTTAGAAGAAAAGAAAAAGCACAGTATGGACAAAGGGTGAACTTCAATTCAGTACAATGAACTCCTATACAACAAACATTCATGCCTCCAAAAAAAGCTAAACAAACAGTTCTTCAGAATACAGAATTATGCATGCCACGAGAAAGCTGGTGCTCTGGGTTAGGCAATACTTTTAAAAGATGCATCATGGAAGACTCCAGTTAACTTCCACGTAACAACAAGCAAAGACAAAAGGCACTACTGGCTAAATAAAAAGTCCTAATATTTAGCAACACAAATGCCACTGAGAGATCTTTTAGTCATCCCCCTTGTGCCCATCGGGTTTATCTGGTTATTCATGAGGACTAGTTTTTCCAAGATGTCGTCGCCTCAGCTGTGAGGTTACGTTTCTTGGACAAAGAGAAAGAAAGGAAGGCTTAAACAAAGCATACAGAGGTATTTAAGATCATGGATGGAGTATTTAAGTCAGATTCACTGACATGTATAAGTAAACGTAAAAACAGTCTATTTTCTTTAAATTTTCAATTTAACATTTACACATTGCCTTCATTATATAAGTGAACAAACTCATATCTCACATAATGCTTCCATCTTTTTTAACCCACACACATGATAGCTGAAATATTTTTGCTTAAAGTCTATCAGAGCTTAATTTGATCTATAGTCCAAGATGCAAGCAAGGCAAAGGCATGCAATAAGCTTAGCCAGCTGTTTAACAAGATTCTGAACACCTGTTGAGAGTATCACAAACGACAACAGGTATCTTTAAAGCATGAAGTAAGTAGTAAATGTGACTAGGCACACTCCGCTCTAGAGAAGCTGGTCAGATTTAGTCACACCACCTTGGAAAGCGAGTTGGCTAGGAACATGATGTTTCAGCTGATCAGCCCATCCCCTTACGCATTCAGGAATCTTCCACAGGTTCTCCCACCACCTTTCTTTTGTGAATAAACAGGAAAAAAGATGTATAAAGCTTTATTATAAGAATAAAAAGGGAAAGAACTGACAATATTCCTTTTAAACATAATATTGATTTCTGTACTACATCAAAATCTAATAATGATCCCTTTTAAAATTAATATATAGATACAAACTTTCCTACAATGATTAATTTTGCTTTCTTGGGAGAAGAGAGAGTCAATATGGAAGGAAGGGAAATGAGAATGTTAATTCAACAAACTGCACATTTCCATAAACCAAATTTAGAAGAAAAATTTTGAAGTTGAAAATCTACAGATTATACATTCCCAAGCTTATTTGCTGCCCTCCTTTCAGGAAAAAAAAATTTACTCAACCCTGCCCTAGCAACTAAAATTATTTTGTTCTCTAGTCCGTAATTCAGAATTCAGTCCAGGTATCTGCTTTTGCAGCCCTCCTGGATCATTCCAGTGTCCCCCCAGGAGACACTATCACCCACTCTAGGAAGCATTGCTATAGACAAAGAGGAGGAAAGGAAAAAACAACTAAGCAATGTGTAGTATGAAACTTTTAAAAATGCAGGGGGTAAAAACCGGGATAAGGGAAATACAACTAAAAACGTTAGGCAATTGGTGTACATCTTTAACGTAGTCCAAAATTTCACCCTTGATTATTTTTTAACATTTTGTTTACTGAAACAATTCAACGAACTAAACATTCCTCTTAATTGCTTCATCAAATTTCCTCGCAGGAAGTTCTAGCTCAGAAAGGTGATAAAAGGCAGACCGGGCTTTAAACTGTCCATGCTCCTAAAAAGTTCAGCGTCAGTCCGTCAGTTCCTCAAATGCCTGGTTGGCCACCTTTGTGCTCCTCTTGCTTCACTGTGATTACTTTTTCTGGCCACACACCAAAAAAGCAAACTCACTGCAGGAGTTGATTCCAACTCACGACAACCCTATAGAAGGTTGGACCTGGTTTCCAAGATTTTAACTCTGCTGAGGGAGAGAGCCTCATCCTTCAGCCCACCGCGTAACCACTGTAACGCCAGGGCTCCTTTCTTGCCCATAGATCATCTCAAGTTAAACTAATAAGTATAGTCCTTAAAAAATTTTTTAAAGTTTTGAATATATGGCATAAATCCAGCCCTGAAGAATAATAAAATTTGATGACCACAGGTGATTCTAAAATCAATTATATTAAGGATTCTTAAGTAAATGTAGTATGCAAGTTATTCTGGCCAAGAATAAAGTTTAGCCTTGATGAATGCCAGATGAGCATTTGAATAATGTATTCATAACCAACTACTGAAACATTACTGGAAGCCTGCAGGGGAGAAACCTTCATGAAATTAGATAAGGATCTCTAATTGATATTTTTAATTTAAAGTGGAATTACAGAAAGGAACTCCAGTTTGGCTGATTCTGGTTGCCAAATGTAAATACTAAAGAACGATACATAAGAATGCTGCCCGTTACTTCTGCCAGCAGATCCTAGAGGTTCCTTGTTTTCTTCATCAAATTAGGACATTCTTAGAATCATTAGGTTTCTCTCCCATAATTTACCCTCACGTGAATAACCATGGGTTAGTAACCATGAATTACAAATTCATGTCTTAAGAAATTTCCCATAAACTTTATCTAAATATCTGAACATCCATATTGCCTAGAAATATTTGTGGAAGATAATGAGCTCAATAACTTGCTTTATTTTTATGGCAAAGGGCTGATACCTTCTAGGTACTACAAAAAATTTTTTCTTAAAGAAATTGTGCTTTATTTAAAAATATTCAAAACTTGACATTTAGGGTTAGGAACACAAAATGTGGTCATGGAAGTCTCAATGAGTGTACGAGTAATCTTTATATAGTTCTTACCAATTTCTGGCGGAGAGAATGTATATTGGCTGCTGGAAGAAGAACCCAAATTAAAGTCTTCCAGGTTCTGTGGTTCTTGAACAATGAGAGCTGCTGCTTCTTCCTGAGTTCCAATGTCTTCTAAGTTAGGCGGCTCAAGGGTAACAATATCAGAATCATCACTGACAGTTCCAAAATAGACATTGTCTTCAGGTGCCTTTTCTTCCTCTGGCTGAAGAATTATAAATTTAGAAACAGTAAATGAAACAATTACTTAAGGGGTTTATATCTTCTTCATAGCTCAAAGTGTTATGATAGTTTAAGGTTAAAACAGAAGACATAATTTCTACCCAGCAGGAAAGTCTTGTGCAGGGTAGCTCATGGTTTGTTTAGCTTGAAACCACCACCAAATCCTGTGGCAAATGGAAAATCAGACTGGGTGGTACGTTTTCTAGCAAGCTGCAGCCACTGACCAGCCTATCATAGCTCCCACTGACCACAGGAGGGACAGTTCACTGCTCTCACTAGTCCTGTGGATTTATTTGTGTATCACTCTGTAGTCAGGGAACCCATAAAAGAGTAATTTAAATTTTCTGGATATAAAAGGCCTTCAAAAGGTTTGCGAAAATTTTATTATCTTTTAATTCCATTTTCCATTAACTTTTTGAATCCCCCTCGCACATGTAATAAATTTCAACAGCCACATAGAAATCATCTGGCTATCTAGGTTTATTAAAAAGTAAAATCCAAAGGAAAGGATTTAATTTGCTCTCAAATTTTAAGATATGAATCCTAATAGCTTAATTTCCCAATATAATTCAAGAATGTAACTTACTCCACTCTGACCAGGACCACATTAGCGGATCCTAGACAGAGGGAGGAAAAAAATGTATAATAAAATTCAGGCCTCCTCAGAACAATGAGACCAAAAGGGCAGCATTTGGACAAAAACAAAGCTCAGAAGGCCCGGAAGAAAAATAGAAAGAAACTGGGAACACAAGCTGTTTCTGAGTAGTATTGTTTATCATTTATCCAGAATAAAATACAAACTTACATCAAGTGCTGACTTGATTTCTTCCACAGCTGTATAGGTGATTTCTCCCACCATTGTTGTGCAACTCAAACTGTCTAATATAAAAATCATATCTTAATTTAAAATATTGTTTAGTTTTATATTCTACATATAATTATAATATAAATTTATAAAATCTAATCAAATGTCAAATAACAATTACAATGGTCACTATCCTCTTGCTGAAAACATCACAGTATTCCGAATAGAATTTTTTCAAACTGTCAGGGGTTCATTTCAAATATTAAATCGAATTCAAGACCAACAACTCAAATCCAAATTCATTTAAGTCAGTAAAAGCTCTACCTTTTGATAACAGTGAACTTTGTTTATACGGTGTGTGCATGGGAAATCCATTCACAGATACCTGGTATTCTACTTCCTAAATCCCAAAAGGAACTATTTTTCTAATGACTTCCAATACCTAGTAACACAGGAAACAAAACTATAGCTGCAGATATTTATTAAAAAATTTTTGAACCATGACTCAACATAATGTCATTACAGAAAGTTACTTAAGTATCTACTTTAAATAAAAAAGGTACAAAAGAATATAGTGCTGGAAATACTGTACTTTTTATTTAAAAAGCTATACAGTGTTAACAAAAATAAAAGTACTAAAACAAACATAACAAAACCTATGAACAAAAAAAACATAAATTGAAATGATGGTAGCACTTATCTCCAGATGAAAAAATATTCCATTTCTTTTGCTTATCATTATAGGCTTTATATATAGCTAGAATATTAACTTAAATTGGAGATAAGGACTCTTAAATAAAGATGTTAGGCCCAAGGACTCCTAAGGAAGCATGAAAAAGTTTTCATATGTGAGTATATGTACTTTTTAGGAGAGACCATCCATAGATTTCAGAGTCTCAAAAGGATCCCTGAGCCACAGTATTTATAAATCACTGCTCAAATGAGAATATTAATCAACATGCAGGTTAATAAAAAAAAAAATCACCAAATAGACACACACTATTTCTGGCCTCTGTACAACTATTTTATACCCAAAAGAAAATGCTGTCTCCTACTTTAATTTTTTTTAAGAACAATTTTAAGAAATTTAAGAACAATTTCCATTTTACTTCCTTTCAGGTTTGTTTTTCTTCTGCTTCCAATCTTTCCATAGGCTTTGGAAGAGGTTGTGAGACAGCACCTGCAGGTCTAAATTGGGGGAGAGGTGTTCCGTCCCTCTGACCAGTTCCTAAGCACCTTGATGAGAATGGCACAGCTCACACAATAATAATGTAGCTTCAAGAAAACATGGGACACAGTTTCAATGTGTGTTGAAGACACTTTCTTTGGAAAGGTCTCTGATGGCTGCCGCCTCCACTATGTTTCTGATTAGGAACCTCTTAATGGCCCTTTCTTTGGGCACACAGTGGTCGCAGCTCGTGCAGCAAATAGGATACACTTGGCTGCGGCCTTTCTTAGTACAAACACTGTTACACCTTTTCTTTGTCATCTCGGAAGCAAGGAACGTGAGTGAGAGTGCTACTTTAAATTTTAATAAAAATTAAGAATTTAAATAGTAAGATGAGCATGGGACTCAGCACCTCCCTACATAATGTGGACATCAAATTCCTGAGAAAGATGTCAAATATGACTCACCAGCTCAAATATGAGTACTCAAAAACATGAGTTTAGTTAATCTCTTTTGATAATTAATAATTTTGTATACTAGTCTTAATAATACTAATAATGACAAGTAAATATAAATTAAACTGCCACAAAATTTTTCATGCTAAACCCTATATTTTGTCATAGGTTACATCTGTACAAGAGTAATAGTATAAGGGTATCTGAAAGCCCAAGTATACACAAGTTATTGACACTGATTCAATTCCAACTCATAGCGATCCTATAGGACAAAGCAGAACTGTCTCTGTGGGTGTCCAAGTCTGTAAATCGTACCCTAAGCAGAAAGCCTCATCTTTCTCCCAAGCAGCCACTGATACGCAGAGACGGAGTTAAACTGGCAACCTTGCAGTTAGCAGCCCAACATACCTCGCTCACTGTGCCACCAGGGCTCCATAAATATATACATGGAAGTTTCATAAAGTTTGTGGGAAAACCTCATTATCTTTATATCCCATTTTCCCATGAACTTTTTAAAGTCCATTCATACTGACTGCAAATCAAAACTCCTTGGGCAGGTTGGTGCCACTGGGTTCTGCAGGCTCAATCCACACTAAAAGCCTAATTCTTTAGTTGACGTGTACTGAGGGATCACTTAGATGAGCTCACCAATGTCACTCACATCAAACCATTTTTAAAACATCTTACCTCCATGCTCTAACTGGCATGCTTGTAGTTCCTCTTGATCTAAAACTGAACTCTCTGGAGTCACCTGCTGGCTGTCACTGACTGCACCATGTTCCGAACTCACCATCTCTATATCAGACCCCTAGGGAAAAAGTAATAATCAACTTATTTCCTATTCGTTACTCAAAGCTGAATTTGACGACCATAGATTTTCCATATTAAAGTCTCTGATGCTGCCATACTGCAAAAGGAACCTACCCCAAACCCACTACCTTCATGTTTGCTCCATAGGGTTTTTAAAGCTGTATATCTTTATGGAAACACATTGCCCCATCCTTCTCCCAGAGATTGGTGGATTCACATCAAAGTGTAGGATACAGACACATTTTTCCCCTGATTTGGTTGTCCCATTTTATTTTTTGTTTTATTAGGAGCTCATACAACTCTTATCACAATCCATACATACATCAATTGTGTGAAGCACATTTGTACATTCATTGCCCTCATCATTCTCAAAACATTTCC